CTAGCAAGGCCTAATCATCCTTGTCCCAGTTCTTCCCAGGAAGATATTGTAGACTTAGACATGGCTTGGTGGATTCTTGAGTTCTTGGCTATATCCAGTCAGAGTGAAACTCCTGTCAAGCTAATTGAAGACAGGGACTAAAGCTATAGATCTTTAACTCCAGTGCTAGTTTTTTAGTGTTCTTACCCAAATTTATTAGATTTTCTTAAATATTTTTTTCATTTTCTTTGTGCCATTAAGATAATCCAGAGATTTTTAACTTGTTGGATTCTTAGTAATTTTCACAAGTTATGGCTGCTTTTCTGGGAGAAGGTCCATGAAGCTCTTCATACCCTCATTAAAAAGCTGTTATCAGAGCGCCTGGGTGGCTTAGTCGGTTTAGCTTTTGACTTTCGCTTTGGTCATGATCTCGCGGTTCGTGGGTTCGAGCCCCGCGTCGGGCTCTGTGCTGACTGCCAGCTCAGAGCCTGGAGCCTGTTTCAGAGTCTGTGACTCCCTCTGTCTCTGACCCTCCCCTGCTCACACTGTCTCTCTCTCTCTCTCCTACAAATAAATAAAAAATATTTTAAAAAAAAGCTGCTATCAAGACACATTTTGAAAGCCAATTAACAATCTAGCAGTAGTGAAGTGAAATTTAGCAATTTTGGTAGTTGATGAGTAGAGATTATCTGTGTCATTAAAACCTTAATGGTTATGGCCACCGATTGTAATATTCTAGGGAAAAACATTATTCCAAATGCCATATGGTTCTAAAAAAATACTTTTGCCTTTCACGTTAACAGTAATCAGAAGCAAATAAATATATTATGAAGTTAACTCCATGACAAGTGAACAGGTTTTTAATTCACAGTAACAAGTATGTTCTCATGTGGAAAAATATCCTGACGGTCCATATGACATAAGGACCACATAATGACATTAATTAAAATTGTACTGTACAACTTAATTTAGTTTTGTGACACACCTAATATATTTAACTGCAATGTAGGGGCAAGCATTGATGAATTTATACAGTCTGTGGAGCATCAGAACATAGCTTTGGAAGTGGATATATTCGGGACGAAAAATGCCGTAGATGACCCGTCATATAATGGAGCCATCATAGTGTCTGATAATGAAAAGGTATATTGGCCTTTGTTTCATAATTTTTCCCATAGATGTGGAAAACCAATATAATATCGATGTACTCAGCTTTCCACTTTAAGAAATGAAATGAAAAACAAATAATGCTTTCATAATAATTCACATTTTTAAAAATTGTTTTTAATGTTTTATTTTTTATTTCTGAGACAGAGAGACAGCATGAGCAAGGGAGGGTCAGAGAGAGAGGGAGACACAGAATCTGAAACAGGCTCCAGGCTCTGAACTGTCAGCACAGAGCCCAAAGCAGGGCTCGAACCCACGAACCGTGAGATCATGACCTGAAGTTGGACACTCAACTGACTGAGCCACCTAGGTGCCCCAATAATTCACGTTTTAATCATTGTCTACCAACACAAACCGTGTGTGTTTGCAAAATAAATACTATACAATACCCACTGCATATTTAAGTCCAAAGGACTCAGATTTCCTCTCAAGGATTTTATAATACATACTTTCTGTTTTATTCTTAAACAATAATATTCGATTTTAGCCTCAGATGTCTCGTGTCCTGAAAATTAGATACAGCCTATATACTTGTCCTGTTTTACTTACATGGTGTTTGGTTTTTGCTTTGATTATTTGACACCATTTTAAAACTCTGATTTTTTGGGGGGACACCTGGGTGGCTCAGTTGGTTAAGTGTCCAACTTCAGCTCAGGTCATGATCTCACAGTCCGTGGGTTTGAGCTCTGCGTCAGGCTCTGTGCTGACAGCTCAGAGTCTGGGGCCTGCTTTGGAATCTGTGTCTTCCTCTCTCTCTGCCCCTCTCCTGCTCGCTCTCTGTTTCTGTCTCTCAAAATAAGGACATAAAAATTTTTTTGAAAAAATAAAAACATGATTTTTAAATTTAAGATATTGAATTTTGGAGGGGAAGAGGGGTGATGGGCGTGGAGGAGGGCACTTGTGGAGATGAGCACTGGGTGTTGTAGGGAAACCAACATGATAATAAACTATTTTTTAAAAAAAAGATGTTGAATTTTGACCTCTTTAGCAAAAAATGAAGATCTTTGAGGATTTAAGAGCTTGCTTTTTATATTTTAGAATTACAGATTTTCATTAGTATGCAATGCCAAAAGACTAAACTGCTTCCCAGTTCTTATGGATATTATTAGTAATGGACTCCTTGGAATGGTTAGACCATCAGCACGTATCCAAACCGACAGAAGTACATTTCCAAAGGTAATTATGTTGACTCTCCTCCATCAAGAATCTGGTCTCTCCTGCACCAAGAATATTCCAGGTCACTCTCTTGTGCTGCAATCTCATTCTTGTTGAGAATGGCTGCATAATAAATTACAGCTTGGTTCATGCTACTCTCTGGTTTTGAGAAATCAGTACACTTTTTAGAGCTTCAGTGCTTTAAGTAATCCCTATACCCAACATGGGGCTCGAACTCACAACCCCGAGATAAGAGTCGCACTCTCTACCAACTGAGCCGACCAGGTGCCCCTAGAGCTTCAATTTCTAAAAAAAAATTTTAATGCCTTGTTTATTTTTGAGAGAGAGAGAGACAAAGAGACAGAGAATGATCAAGGGAGGAGCAGAGAGAGAGGGAGACACGGAGTCCGAAACAGGCCCCAGGCTCTGACAGCTCAAAGACCAATACAGGGCTCCAGCTCATGAACCGTGAAATCATGACCTGAGCCGAAGTTGGATGCTTAACAGCCTAAGCCACCCAGGCGCCCAGAGCTTCAATTTTTTTTAATGCAAAATAGAACTCTTTTTTAGAGGGAATGTGAGGTAATGAAAGTGAAGACAAGAAGCACTGAGACTAACACAAAAATAACAAAAAAAGGAAAGAGGGAGAGAGACAGAAAGAAGAAAAACAAAGGGAAGGAGAGGGGAGGGAAAGACAGGGTAGGGAAGGGGAAGGGAAGGGAGGGGAGGGGAGGGGAGAGAGGGAGGGGAGGGAGGAGAGGGAGGGGAGAGGGGAAGGGAAGGGGAGAGGAAGGGAAGGCAAGGGAAGAAATTGAAGTTTTATTATTAGTTTTTAGAAATGCTACAAAGGAAAAAATTTAAGACAAAGTTCAGGCCAAAGTTGCAGACTGGTTACATTAGAATTACTCCAGTTCCTTGTAATAAATATGCATTATTTGGCCTACCCTAGACTGACCAAATCAGCTTTTTCATTCCGGAAGGGGGGGGGGATTTCCTGTTTCTAAAAAAAGGCCCATATGATTGGATTGTGTATAGCCTTGTAAGTTTGGAAACCAGAATACATATTACAGTTTGTAATTATTCCTTTTTGATTATTTCCTAAATATACTGCTTCCACTTAGAGACTTCTTTCAACACAGAGACCATGTATTTTTTAACCCTACATAATAGTTTATAATTTGATATAGGGCTTAAAACATGATAGGCACCAAATAACTTATTTGTTAAATGTATAAATGAATGTCAGAGGTCAGAAAATTATCTGTATTCCATTCAAATCTAGGGTTTTATGATAATATGTATGACTAAAGACCGTTCACCCATGTGTAAAATGGGCCATCCATCATTATTTTCATACACTCCTCCAAGATTTTCAGTTGACGTCTCACAACACGCTTCACGGTACAGTCAGAAAATAAAAATTCCTTTCAGTAAGGGTGTGTAAGAAGCTTACTCATTAAAGCAAAAAGTTTTAGTCATTCATCAAGTACTAATTAATTTTAGACTATATGCTATGGTTCATTAATTAACTTCCTGTCAGTTTTCTGGGTTCTCAGGGAGGAAACAACAGTTGAGCAAATTGCCTTGAGTTTCCTTCCATCAATAGAAACATTCTATTTTATCTGTGAGGCACTTAATACCAACTACTTACTTGACCTTGTATTTATGTGCTCAACGTCTGAACTTTATTATCTCCAGAAACTCATTTTGTACTCTGTTTGAATTTACCTGTGCATTACACAAGTAAGAGTTTTCGGGAGTTTCACATCTTGCTTCTGTCCTGCTCAGGTCAAAGACTTTACCACTGAGAACTGAACCACCCATCATGCAGCGTGTTCCAAAAAGATCCTGTCAATGAGCCTAAATCTCTCTTTTCTGTAGTTAGTAAGGGTGTCTCTGACTGCCAGGCTGAAGATAACCAGACTCTGGTTATAACTTTTCTCAACACTGTGCATATCATGGATCGTGAAAGTAACATGGGAACTGTTTTCCAGGGCACTCAGTGAACCTTCTGTCCCTAACAGGGCAACAAAATGTGTCACCAAGTACCAAGGTTTTTCATGGAGATTTCACTTCCCTTTCTAGTACTATACTTGATCTCTACCTTGGAAGCCTCAACCAATATTTTTCTGGTCTCCTGATGTACCTAGAAAGATGCTTATCATCACTGTGCCCGCAAACATCTGATACAGTTTTTGAGTCAGGCCATATCTCGTTTGAAATAATTAAATGCCCATGAAAAATTGAATGTTTCAACGGTAAATGGTCATGATTTACTGTTTTAGCCTCATAGCACATTGTAGAAACATAAAATAAGAAAGTGGAAAATCTCACTCCTTTTCTATCTTCCGACTGTGTAATAATACTTGTCCGTTCATACACAGGCTTTGAGTCACTTTCCTTATCCATGAAATTGGGTATAAAGCCAATTGGATGGATAATGAAAGAGTTGGGGAACCTCAGCGGGGACCTAAGGAAGGAGTATATGTAATCAGTTAAAAATTTTTAAATGTATTCCAGAAAACAGAATTTGAATTTGTTACTTAGCTCATTATATTTGCATTTTCAGGAGCCAGAGAGAAGCTCATTTGAATTTTGGGAATATACTATATTATGGATGATTTTGGTATCCTCCTGTACACCTTATATTGCCATGAGCAGCTGTGATGATTATAAGGTAATATCGAAAATTTCATTACCTTGTATGATTAGAAGGTGAAGGTAGAGTTCCTTCCACAAGGCTTTCCCCACAAGGCTTTTATACAAGTAAATAATACTTATACAAATAAATAAACTGAAATAAAAGTGTCTCCCATAGGAAACATGAACATTTTCTTTCTCTGGCCTGTGTAATGCCACTATTCTACCATGTTCTTCCTAACCCTTTGGCCACTGTCTGGCTCCTTTGGAACTTCTTATTCTTCTCTAAATTCTGGAACTCCTGAGGTCTCAGCCCTAGGCTCTCTCATCATTCTTGATGTCAGTCTGTCCTAGGCAAACTCATCTAACCATAGGGCTTCAACCCCTTTTACCTACCCATCACTCACAGACTTGATCTCTAGTTTCTTTTTCTTTTTCTTTTTTTTTAGTTTATTTTGAGAGAGAGAGAGAGAGAGAAGAGGGCCTGTGTAGGGGTGGGGAGGAGCAGAGAGAAGAGAAAGAATCCCAAGCAGGCTTGGTACTATACGTGCAGAGCCCAGTGCAGGGCCCAATCCCACCACCATAGGATCATGACCAGAGATGAAACCAAGAGTCAGACGCTTAACTGAGCCACCCAGGTGCCTCAAGATTCTAATTTCTTTTTTTTTTTTTTTTTTAATGTATTTTTTTTAAATGTTTTATTTACTTCTAGGAAAGAGAGAGAGAGACAGCGTGAGCAGGGGAGGGTCAGAGAGAGAGGGAGTCACAGACTCTGAAACAGGCTCCAGGCTCTGAGCTGGCAGTCAGCACGGAGCCCGACGCGGGGCTCGAACCCACGAACCGCGAGATCATGACCTAAGCGAAAGTCGGACGCTTAACCGACTAAGCCACCCAGGCGCCCCTCAAGATTCTAATTTCTAATATTACCTCCAGTGCTGATCCAAACTCCCTTCTCCAGGTTGCCACTGGGAAAATCACAGACTCTCAAACTTACCACATCCCCAAAGCTACATTTATGACATTCTTGAATGTGTATTCCCCCCCCCTTTTCATATTTCCTGTCTCCAGAGACGACAGTACCGGGCACACACTCAGTCAGCACCCTAAAACCGCAGCTCATCCCTCTCCTGGCTTCACCACAGATCAGTCCATCACCAAATCCTTTTTAGTTGTGCCAACTGAACAAGCCTGTGCCCAGAGACTTTGATGAGCATCCTTGGGTCAAATTCTGTCTCTGACACAGGCCTCTTTTGGCCAGCCAGAGACCATCAGCAAATGAATTAAACTATTTTTAAAGAGGAAAAAATATATTCGAAATTGTTGAGTGGTTTATTGCAATTGCTGAATTGGTGCCAAACCATTCATCACTTGATAAGCTGTTTTAAGATATATAATTCAGTATGTTTATTCAGAGAAGGACAGGAATACAAGATACATAGTATTTGTGAATGTAATAATATTGATGTATGTGTGCATAAATATTTGGATGGGCAACAAATATTTGAATATGTGCTATGCCAAAACTACCTTAACTCATCATTTAGTTAGAATGAAAGGAATAAAGCCATGTTATATGTATATAAAAATACATAACATGTTGTATATTTGTGTAAAGTATAATAGTAAATAAAACCTAATATTTTATATGTAAAATATATAATCTTTTTATGTATATACACATGGAGAGAGAGAGTGAGCACGAGGCTTCAGTGAGTCAAAACAGAACCACAATGATGGAAAGTTAGCTGCTTAAATAAACCACCCTGCTCCCATAGATTGCTAATCAGTATTTTGTTTACTGCTATGTTAATACCATGATTACACTGAGATCTTCTTTCACAAATTTCCACTGGGTGTTTGATGAACTTCAATATTGCTAATTAAAGTGGCAAATTGATCATATATGTTTGGAACTAGCCATCCCCCTTGGTCCACATCATGCTTATGGCCATGATGCAGAATCATTACAAAATGAACATTGTGGTTAAATGTTTTCTCACATAATCCACATTTTCTTAAAACTCAGACGGAACTAACACTTGGTGTCTTTGCTGTTTTTTAATCAGTACAAAACTCAGTCCCAGCTCCGGATTTCAGGCCTCCACCCATCTGCTTACTGGTTTGGCCAGGCGCTGGTGGATATTTCACTCTACTTCTTGATCCTCCTTCTTATGTATTTAATAGACTCCAGCTTAAACCTCCAAGAGTCAGAATTTGCAACTGTAAATCATATCATACAAGTAAGTGCCAATATTCATAGAACAAATACCGTTGAATGATTTCATGAAAAGAAATGGAAGAGGCAAATGATATTTGTATCATCATAAATTAAATCGCTGTAAAATTTAGTGATACAGCAATCTGTTGGCTCCTAATGTGTTTCTCAGACTGCATTTGCCTTTAATGAAACGTAACATTCCTGTTGATTTCAGATCCTTTGTGCTCTTGGCTATGCCTTCTCACTTATCTTCTTGACATACGTGATTTCATTCATTTTTCGCAAGGGGAGGAAAAATAGTGGCATTTGGTCTTTTTGCTTCTTTATGGTAAGTACATTTCTTGTGTACAATTCTGAGCCAGTACTTTAAGTTTGCCCTCAGTAGAATGATAAATTAATGTTACAGTCTCAAATATTTTGTTTTCCTTATGCATGATCCTTTTCAAAATCTGCATGTTTTTCTCTTCCTAATGTCTACCCTTGTCTCTCTCTCTTTTTTTTTAATGTTTATTTATTTTTGACAGAGAGACAGAGCACGAGCAAGGGAGGGACGGAGAGAGAGGGAGCAGAATCCAAAGCAGGCTCCAGGCTCCACACTGTCAGTGCAGAGCCCCACACAGGACTCAAACTCACAAACCACTAGATCATGATCTGAGCCGAAGTCAGACACTTAACCAACTGAGCCACTCAGGCTTCCCTACCCTTGTCTCTTTTAAAATTAGCTAAATTGTTTCTAGAACCAGAACGTATTTTTAGAAGGAAACCTGGAAGCCATTTGTATCTTCTTTTTACTGAAAAAGAAGTAAGGTCACCAGCCTCCACAAAGTTATGTAGTAGATTACAAACGTTATTTGCTAGCATAGTTAAAACTAGAAACTACTCCATATTCTACTAGAATTAATTCCACAAAAGCAACACTTATTTTATCTAAATTAGGAAAGAAAAGTATATGTTATCTCCCGTTACCTATTCTGATTTCCTGTCATTCCAGCTGCCAAAAAGTAAACTATTAATTCAAAAATATTACTTGGCTTCCAGAGCGCCTGGGTGGCTCAGTTGGTTAAGCGTCCTGCTCTTGATTTCAGCTCAGGTCATGATCTCACAGTTTGTAAATTCGAGCCCCACATCACTTAGGATTCTCTGTCCCTTCCTCTCTCTCTGCCCCTTCCCTGCTCACTCTATCTATCACAAGATAAATAAACTTAAAAAATGTGTATGAGTTGCCTTCCAACAATGCGTCAAAAAACTAAGACTGGTAATGCATAAAAAGTAGTTTCAACCCTGAAAGGGCACACAGAGGGTGAAAGAGAAGTAAACAGCCACTTAGGAGAACAAAGTGATAAGGAAAAGATTATCCCTTTTTAAAAGATTGTCTCTGTGAAAACCAGAGAAAGGAAAGATTAACTCATGAAAATGAGAGCAGAAATTTCCTTGAGGCATTGAAACCTGGAGAATTAGATTTTAGGAGCTAGGGAAGAATGATTCAGTGGGGAGAGAGTCCAGGCTTAGCCTAGGAATTGGTAATAATCTGGCATAGGGCAAGGAAGAAAACCCCGTGCAGCAAGGGTGTGGCCTTAGTTATGGTAAAAATATTGGTTGGAACCATGCTGGCCTTTGATGATGCGCTCCAGAATTTACTCTACAGGCTGTGGAAAGCTGTGGAAGCTTATAGTACAGACAGGAAATAAGATCAGAAATATACATTTAGGAAGAATATGCTGGAATGCCATAAAAATGGTAGCTTGTAAGAAGCCAGAAGTACAAAAACTTGTAGGAAGCCTTCATCATTGCAGTGTTTTCGAAGAAAAAGTCTGAGTGTGTCTGGTGTACCTCTCACTATCTCTTAACCCTGAATTCTCAATGAGATACTTCTGAAATAGAAGCCACTCTGGGTGTTTCTGTGCCTCTGTTTCTTGGCACAGCTGAGAAGTATAGCTGACAGAAGTCCTCTCTCTTTGTTATGTCATTCCTACTAGATACCAATTTGTGGTCCCGATGATCATTGCTTCTCTACCAGTTTTACCCCTGAAAACAGTAGAATGCCAACTTTGTTCCTTTTCTGTAATGAAAATATTCTGTAGGTCAGATCCTAGATTTATACAGTCATGTCTCATTCATGATACTCCAGGTGAAAGGAATTTGGCTAAGTCACTAAGAGAACAGGTCGATGGCAGAAATGCTGATTTCAGTTGGGTTTCTGAGGCCGGATCTGAAATTAGGAATATCTTTGAGATGGGCCATCTCAGTCTGGAACATGTTTGGAGTGTTTGGAGTGTTAATACGCGTGTCTGTTGTTTTCTTTAGATCACCACCTTCTCTTTGTTTTTACTGTTGCTGTTGGCTTACTTTAAATATGAAATGCTGCATTATGTCACCTTTTTAATACCACAGGCCGTATTAATTGGCTGCATGTTCTTATTTTTTCAGGTAAGTAGTGCCACCATCCCCCAGTGTCCTAGAGCTCTTGACAGAGTGTGAAAGCTATGCTTGGGGTTGGGGTCTACAATATGTTGAGTATGCATGACATTGAAATATCTCTACCCCATGGCTACCAGCTGAATCCCTGCCAGATAGGCCAATAGCTAAACAGCTGGAAAACCCACCTTCTGTCCGTGTGTGGAGAGAAAGGGTAATCGGTGGTGGGAAATAGAACAGTCTTTACATACTCCTGGGCAAATGAAATACCCCTAATCTTTGGGAGCTTGAGATTCTCGAGATGCACTCAATAGGAATAAAATCCTTTTTTTTTTTCTCTAGCTAATTGATGGAGAAGTATCGACTTCTACAAATATATAGATATAGATGTAGAAGTATAGACTTCCTGAAGAGGAAGAAAGATACAGTGCATGAGTGAAGATGCAGAAAGGCAAGGGAAGGGAAGGGCAGGCACTTATGAAGGGTCATGGGGCACAGGAAGGTGTGTGAAGCTCTGTAGGATAAAGATAAGCCCTGATTCTCTCTCCTTATTTGGGGATGCCAACACAGATGCCCAAGTTTGTCTCACCAGGTAATGAGTACTTGCTAAATCCTATTGCTT